TTATTTTTAGGGCTTATCTCCACAATAGAATAAAAGCAAGCTTTTATGGGATTTTTATGAACAAGTTAGGTTCATGGCAAGCTATGGAAACTAGTAAAGTGGTCCTAAGTCTCTGAGCAAGCTCAACCTGATGAAAGAAGTCGACCCGAGAAGCTATCAAGAACGATGAAATGCATCATTAGAAGAACAAGGCTGACGCTCATACGCAGTCTCCAAGACCATTCTTGGCGTCAAGACGCCATGTATAATTGTAGCCCAGAAATTGCAAAGTTAAAAGAAAATGAATTCCAATAGCCAAGCAAAATTGCATTCGGACGCCAGATGCCAGAAACCTACACCATAAGTACCTTAGTGCACACAAGGCACGCAAGCCTAACAAGCTGCATCCAGACGCCCATCCTGGCGTCCGAATGCCAACCTGTGAATTAATATGGGATTTTGAATTTTTTGTTATTTTTCTCTCTCATCTCTAACTTCAATGCATGAGTTTTGGAGGGATTTTTGACTGATTCTGGTAGAAGGGGATATATACACGTGGCTATATTATTTTTCATATCATCATTCATATTAGATTCAAATTTTATATAATTATTGAGAGAGAAAGTGAGGGTTAATTAGGGTTCTTGAGTGTTCTTGAGAGGGGCTGCTATGGAGCTGAAGATGGAGGCTTTTTCTTCAACCCTTGACTTTCCACCATCACCAGGATGACTAAATCCCCTCCTAGAGGATTGAGGTAGCCTTTACCAATCAAATATGTAATCTTTGTATTTTAATTTGGGGAAATAGCATTGTATGTAATGGATTTCATGAATAAGATGAAGGTTTATATTGAAATTGGTGTTAATTTTTACATTAAATTGATGTATGATCCATACTCACATATATTAGTACATTTTCTATGCAATTCTTGTCTTAGAACCATGTTTATATACTTGTACTCTTGATTTCCTTATAGTGACAATAAGGATTGATTTCATTAAATGGTTTTATAGGCATGTCATATAGGATTTTAGATAAATTATGCCAAGGGCAGATGGACCATGCTACACCTTTAGATTAATGTAATTAGGTCGATGGTCTATGCCAACCAAAGATAATTTATGCTAGATAATTTACTTTCATGTGCTAAACTTACAAATTTAGAACCTTTATAGGCCATACCTAGGGAAGATGGCTTATACCACACCCTAGTTTAGGTGGATGAGCCATGTCACCCAAAGATGGGTTATGCTTAGTTCTAATTAATATGATTTTTTTGAAATTGTTGTATGCTTCTACACATTATTGTTACATATAATTGTTTTCTCCAAGTTAAGTAAATTGTAGCATGTTTATGAGGTCTCGACGAACTCGATTCCCTAGTGTCTTCTATTTGTTAATTCAATCTTTGAATTTTTTTATTTTGTTTTAAGTTTATGCTAAGTGACAAATAAACAAATTAACCATTCTTCAAACCAAATCGTGAAATTTTACAAACTAGAAATTAATCTTTGCAATTTGATTGCCATAAGCTAGCAATCTTCGTGGATCGATACCATTTCTTAGCTATTTTCTACGTCAACTTGTGCTTCAATTAGTGGTTTATAATTGAGCACGCATCAATTGGTTGGTCTCTTGTTCTGCCCTTAAACTCCCTTGGACAGGGGTTATGGTGGACGGACCTAACACGGTCATGGTGGACGGACCCAATGTGGTCATTCTGAAGGTCGACCTCGTTCACTACTGCTTAATCGATTCGCCAGCGGTGATGAAAGATGAGGCTCCAACCCACGCTCCAATCATGATCGGAGCTCTGCATTCTCTCTGCACAAAATCTCCATGACATTTGCGTTCTCCTTACGCAAGGTCTGGATCAGTTGCCAAAGATCCTCCTGTCTATCGTTCCGACCAAACTCTTGATGCTGCATGCCCTTTTCGCCAATCATTGTCCCCGAACATAGCTATGTCATCAATTGGATCGAAAAACTATTGAAAAATTACTCGTCGATTTCCCATAAACTGTGCCAGATGAAGGTGCAAGAAATTGCTCTCTTTATTAGGAAAGTAATCTATTACACTTCAATCAATCTCCCTCTTTTCTTTCTCCTTCTATTTATAAAAGACTATACTTGCCCTAAAATTCCTTGTTTTATTTCTAAATCTAGAAACAAAACAGGCTTGGTCCCTTCTTGGGTTGATCCATTACTCAAGACAGGCGCTGAGTGAGAACGAGTGGGCTGGGGAGTCGCACTTCTTTCTCAACTAGTGGGCCTGGTCAAATTTGGCCTAGTGGGATTTTATGCCCCTTCAGGTGGTGTTTGGGTTTGCGGGTACAAATAAGGGCATTATTGCCCTTTCATATTCTGAAGGGCACTATGGTCATAAATATTCAAATTTTGTATCACATGACAACACATGGTATATTTTACTGCAATATTCTACCGGCACATAACGGGATGGAGCAAACTGTAATAAAAATTATAATTCCGAGTTTTTTTTTTAATTTATTTATTTATTTATTTATTTTTTTATTTTGAACTTTTGTAATTTAAAGAGATTTCTTGCAATAGGGCCAATGGTTTAGGGGGTTTAGTGCACTTAAATCTACAATAATAATATATCATATAAGAATTGGCTTGGTTTTCATTGATCCGACCTGTTTTGGTTCAAATCTGGTCAATGTATTCATAAGTATGTCACATGTGTTTAACCTTTTCCAAGTTCTAACATAAACACATATTCGCCCAAAACTTTTAATCATATATATATATATATATATATATATATATATATATATATATGGGTCAAGTGCAAAAAACACCCATATAGTATGCATATAGTGCATATTACACCCCACCCGTGCAAAAAAACACCCCTAAACTATGATATTTGTGCAAATAGGTCCTATTTATAAAAAGTAGACTAAAATGCCCTTAGCAACACATTTTATAATATATATTTTTTAAAAATATTGTGAAATGACTAAAATATCCCTCAATTTATTGTAAATTTACAAATATTATATATATATATATATATATATATATATATATATATATATACAGATACACATATATACACAAACATATATATATATAGATATATACACACGCACTCTACCATGAAGCTTTTTTATGAAATTATGCCCTACACTTTCAGTAAGTGACCTTACAGCCTACTTTTGCTGTCACAATGAATCACACCAATTTATACTTTTGCTGCCGCAATGAATCACACCAATTTATAGGTCAACTCCAAAATCCAAAATGGATGGGAAGTATTGACTCCATATAAGCAAAAGCACCAATGATACAGGATTATAAAGTATTTGGTCACACTGAAAAACACATATTCAACCTCAAACAAAATTTCTGACCGTAAAGGCTCAAAATAAACTCTCATCGACTAACGAATTGGGGAAGAGGTTCAAGCATCAAATCAAGCACCTTTTGTTGGAATTGTAAAGAATACCAGATTGATGCTAGGAAAGGGTTCGGAGTATGATATATCCATGGTGGGTCACTTTCCGGTCATGAGCCACGGCAAGATGGAGAACTCGTCGAGCATGGAGAGAGGTATGGCGCCAGCGAGGATGTACTCAAGTCTTGAAGAGGAAGGTCTTGATCCCGCTAGCGGCGAGGTCTCAGTCACGAAGGAGCCGGCGGGGCCGCCGATTATGGCGGCGCGTAGCTTGCGGTCGGAGATATGTGTGTCGGATTTTTTGCCTCCATCTTTTTCTGCTCTTTCTGTTCCTGTTGAAACCCGAGTCGGCCTCCTCAATCAGAGGATTAGTTCCTCAACGGCGTGATTAGAGGGCTTTTATATTCGGTGTCGGTGAACTACTTTCTGGGCCACCGCTGGTCCTCTCATCTCTCTCTAACCTCCTACCACCACCCACAATCGACGCCTCCACCACTACCATCCACAATCGGCCCCTCCACCACTGTTCACCCACCATCTAAAATAACCATCTCCACTTCTTCACCGCACCACCCACAATCGGTACCCACCACTACCACCCACAATTGGCACTTCCACCACTGTTCACCCACCATGCAAAACAACTATCTCCACCCCTTCACTGCACCACCCACAATTGGCACCTCCACCACTACTACCCTCTCGCTCGCATCCCCGTAAGCTCTCTCTCCCCGTTCAGATCACACACTAGTCAGAATCTAGGGTCAGAGGTGGTTACGGTGGAGGGTAATGTTTGGTAGGGGTATTTTTGGAAGAATAATAGGGTAAAATGGGCATTATATTAATTGAGGGGTATTTTTGCACAAATTGAAAAGAATAAAGGTGTTTTTTGCACACCTTTTTAAAGAAGGGGTAAAAGTGCTAAGAAATGTATACTTTAAGGGTATTTCTTGCACTTACCCCATATATATATATATATATATATATATATATATATTTGTTAAGTATCTATTCCAAATTTTTATATGTCACATCAATCTATTTGTATGCAGATCGATCTCTTCCTGGAATATCGCTCTGCATGTACTCCATCTTGGTAAGTATTTTAGAACTTAATTTAAAATACATGTGATCAACTAACCAATAATTAATGGACCATTGACACAGTCAAATTTCAATTTTGAGAATTCTGGACTTCGTATGAAATCTGCATCTATCTTCTTCATTCTCTTCTCCAATTGATACATTTTACTTTCTTTAGCAGAACATTTATAAGCCCTTTGGAGTATTGAAAAAGAAGTTGCATTTCAAAACTAAACTAAAATTTCTCAAATTCGAATTTCCCACACCAACCCCATACTACCAAATATAAAACTTAGAGAGAAAATTAAGCCCAATGCAGAGGAAAGATATGTGAATATATATTTAATGAGGACATAAATTTGATGAACAAAGCAATACATGATACACGCACTTGGTAGTTTTCTTTAAAGTGCTCTTCAATGACTATTTGTATACTTATAGAAAATTGAAATCCAACAAAGTTAAAGAAATTAATACAACACAAATATATATATATATATATATATGTAACACCTTGCTTCAAGACCCGCGAGTGCTACTTAGACTGAGGAGTTGAGTGAATGACTAATCAAATATGTTGGATCAAGGAATTATGTTCAACGCAACAAAGTACTCTACCACTGAAACCCATGATGAAGATGAGTTGCCACATGCCTATTAGCCTATGATCCATCACCATCTCCTATTTCTTGGATCTTGCCCATATTAAAAGTATTAGCCACCATATTCTCTCCATAGCCAATGACCCTTCCACGGTGATCTCCAAAAGAATAGTACCCATCTTCACCAACACCATGAATATTGGCGCCAATAATATCTTTAGTAGGTGACTGCAGATCTTCTTGTCCAGCTGTGGAGTTGATCTTGTCTCCCTCACTCTCCCTATACTTGTTGAGATAAACTTTCAAGGGTCCAATATAATTATCAAACCCTAGTGTTGTCATAGCCCACAAAAGATCATCACCATTGATGGTCTTTCTCTTTTCTCTTTGACACTTATCCGATGCCTCGCCGGTGATGAAGCTTATGAACTCAGACACACATTCTTGGACGCTCTCCTTGGCTTCTTTCGATATTTTTGCATTCGTGGGGAGGGACTTCTTCATGATCCGGCTCACGTTGGCGATGGGGAGGAAGCGGTCTTGATCTTTGTCGGAGATGTTCCCGTACGATGGGCTTCCTACCGGGCTCGTTTGGCTTCTTTTTCCGGCCATGGAGAATAGGAATAGTACTAGCTAGCTGGTTAAGGAAGAGAGGGAATAGGAGGGAAATAGAATGTGAGGAGATATTTGGGGAGGTGTTTGTGGGTATTTAATGGGATAGTACTTGGTGTTTCAAGCTAAGAGGAGAGGGAAAAGGAAGCAATGGAAAAGAGTGGAAAGGCGGTTTGATGTGGACGGAAAAGGAAAGAAAATGTCCACTGGCTAATGAATTAAATTTTTGCAAGTTAAAGAATGGTGTGGGAGGTGTGGAATCTTGAGGAGAGATTTTATTTGGATTTTTTTGAAATCATGTTTTTCAAGCTGAATTCATCGTTGATGGTCCCACAAAAGGTCTGTAAAGAGAAATATATATATATATATAGTCTTGATCAATTGCAATTAGACATGTAAATATACAAGTCAATTATATTTAAATTTTTTACATACATGTCGAATTATATATGATTTACGGGACCATATAGTCTTGAATCTGTTTTTACTCCTTAAAATGGATAATGAGAGGACTTGTTACATTCTGCAAATTATAGCGCATTTTGAGGATTCAATTCTGAGGCGTGTGTATAGTAATTCAGATCTCAGATGCATATATGATAGATTTGTCTAAATCTTTATTTATTTTTAATTTTTTCATGCTGACATGCAAGTCGATGGAGTTATTTATTTATCCTTTCTTCTTTGTGGTTGTTCCCAAATTGCTTAAAAAGCATCCAATTTTGTTCGGCTGCACCAATCACTAAAGATAAAATGTACTTACAGACTAGTTTGCTTATTTATTTATCATCCATTAATACCATAGCTCTAGTGTTATGTACTTGGAATGACTTAATTTAACCACTTCTCTAGCTACGATGGCAAAGTACTTTCGGGTAGGTATTCAGCCGTTGAAAGTGATGGTGAGGTCCGCTAACAAATGTCCCACAACTGATAGATTCAAAAGTACAAAAGTACAGTGACCAAAATATTTTAGAACTTTTCTTAATTTTGATTGGATATATATATATATATATATATATATATAATGCTCCATATATTTTTAGAATACTCCAATGGCATAGTATTTCAGATATTTCAGTAATTGAATGTGACGGTGAGAGGTCCACTAACAAATGTCTCATGACTGAGAGATCCAAAAGTACAAAGGTACAGTACCCAAAATATTTTAAAACTTCTCTTAATTTTAATTGGATATATCAATATCTATCTATATATATATAGATAGATAGATATATACACAAAAGATGTAGATATTTGCATTGCACGATCACTGGTGATTGGGATTCCTAAGCTTTAAATTAGTACCAATGGACTAGGAATCTATGTACGGGTTAAAACAGGATAACAAAAGGAAGGGGCAAAAGAACATATGCTTCATCTTTATCTTTTGAATTTGTTGTGTCCTTGTATCCTACCATCACATCCTTTAACCCTAATTAAAGATCAATCATCACCACCCATTTAGTTTGGTACCTAGACTCCGACGGATTAATACAGTTCAAATCGATTAAATAGGTAAAACTCAACTAGTACAAGTCCTTTTTCTCAAAAAAAGGACCCATATTCAAGTCGTCTTCTTTTTCTGCTTTTTTAATTAGTATTCACACACAAATATCTCTTTGAGATTTAAATCTTCTGAGTTCTCTTTAAGAGATAAAGAGGCTGAGACCATTGGCCCATTGGTGATATTCAAGCCTTCGTAAAAGTATGAGGCTATGAGCTTGGGTGGAGCTAGTAGAGGGCAGTGGGGGCCATGGCCCCACCAAAATTTTTCAAAATTTTTTTTAGTAACCCCTCAAAATATTTATATTGTAAATGAACTTACGTTATGTTCCCAAAATTCGTAATATATTCAAATTTAGGCCTCCCAAAATATTTTCAAAACATTTATTTACTGGCCGAAAAATAAAGTGTGGAAATAAATTTAACTTATTTCCCCTTTAAACTCATGCAATATCAATTTGGAATCTTTTAACCATACTTTTGAAAACTTAAATATTGGGAAATAAAAATGTAAGTTTATTGTTAAAAAAAAAATAAAAAAATTGTTACTTCATTTGACATGTATATTATTTTATGGTTTGAATAGCATGTAATTTACCATAAAAGAAAGGGCAGTATTGTAAGTTCACAAAACTTTCTCAATAAATCAAAATTTTCTTGTGTATTTTGGAAGAAAATTTTATGGAAAAATTAGGTGGTTATGGAAAGTGATTTTCATCAAAATTTTCCGTTTCCTGCTTATCAAACTCTTAAAATGTTTAAAAAATTTCTATTTTCTTTCTTTTCTTACCATTTCCATCTAACCAAACGAAACCTTAAAGATGGTGTTTACAAGAAAATTATTTAGAATTATATGTATATCTCTATCAATAAGTCTTGGGAGTGGGAAGAAAGAAAAATTGTGAGAGCACGATGGCAAGAATGCCAACAACAATAATGATATTATATATGTTCATATTTTTAGTTACATATTTTTAGTTATAAATAAAAAAAATCTATAACTACTCGTTATATAAATTATTAAAGTACTGTCTATTTTAATCATAATAATTGTGTTTTATTAAACCTTGTAAGATATGTTTAGTTAGAATTATTTATTAATCTTTTTAAATCTTTCATCAAGCTAATATGATATATATTTGTGAAAATAGAATCAAAGTATTAAAAAAAAAAAAATCAAAAATCAAAAATTAAAATTTTGAAAATTTGAAACAATTACTAAAGAAAAATTGATTTTCTTTCTTATATTAGTTTTCCATCTATTTATTTAGGTTGCAAATATATATATACATATATTTTGATTATATATTTTCAAGATATATGTATATATATACACACCTACTAAGATCAATATTTATATAAAAAAATATTTTGTTTACAATTTTTTCAAAATTTTACATAATACTAAATCGGCCCCCCAAATCCATATTCCTGGGCCTTGAGAGTATGAGTGTGCATTTACTTGCTTAACCATTAAAAAAAAAAAAAAAAATCCCACAACTCAGATCGGTTAGTTCATGTGCCCAAAACTCACTCACATTCGTCAATTTTGTATTTACTTTTTGTTTTTAAAAATAAAAATAAAAACAAAAAAACTATAAATGTAGTCCTTAAATCTTAATCAACTCTTTTACTCCTTTTGAGTAATTTTAATTTTGTAAATGATAACTTGGAGAAATTTAATTTAAGAGTTGGTGTTGAAATTTTGACTTTAAATTGGTTAGATCCTCATTTTGTGTACAAGGGAAGTCAACATTAATTTCAAACTGAATATATATCTCATTCAATTAATAATTCAATTTATTAATTGCATCTAATGATTTCTACACATATTTTAAGTTTATTTTGTACATCATGATTTTAAAAATAATAATAATTGAATCTGGTTTGATTTTCTTAAGTTACTCAAATTGTGCCAAATGGCTTCTTATGCAACTTCTTCCACCACCTATTCAACAAGTGCTTATATTTTATAAACTTCATTATTCATAAAATAAAAACTAAAATCTAAAGATTAATGTACAAACATATATAATCCTTTTAATTTCTTTGGTGGACTAAGGCATGCAACTATATATATAAATATATTATTGTTATGAATATATAAATAAAGAAATATATAAAATATATAATGAAACCTACCCAAAGTGACAATAAAAAACAAGGTAGTTTTATTCACCGAAAGAGATACCCAATACAATACTCCACCACACATATTTATAGATATATTGTCGCGTTACACTCATCAATTACATCACTTAACCAATTACTAGGTCACATATTATAATGATTTGGTCATTTTCCTTCTTTTTCTTTTCTCCACTTTTTTGGAATATTTTTTTTCCGTTAAAGTTTCTTTGCAAAGTTCGGGTTTTAGCCCTTCGTGTCATTTTGAGTGCTCGGGAATGATCCCGACACTCTTCCTTGTGAATGTCTTGTATTGTTCCGTGAGGGCCGTGTCATCTCCTCACCTTTTCCCCCACTTTATTTATTATTATTATTATTATTATTATTTTTATTTATTTCTTTTCCGGTTAGCATTTTCGTTCATGTAACCTCACTTTACGTGTTCGGTTTTGCTTCCACTTTTGCATGCACTCATGATACATGATTTCATTGACATGTGTATTTTTACTTTCTTATAAATGCATGCCATTAGTGCACCTTCTTCTTTAGGGGTGTAGATGCACACTTCTTTGGAATTTTTATTTCTTTTGGAGGGTTTTTGTATAATTACTTAAAATAATTATTTTTGTCTTAAAGACCATTTTGCAATTAAGTTTGCAAGATATTTAGAGGAGGGACTTTGATGCAAATATTTTTGGGCCACTTTGGGATTTTCGCATTAAAGAGGGATTTTTATATAATTGACCATAGATGTGTGTGTTGATCAAAGTGTAGGATTACATAGTGAGTGGAGGATTTCTGTTTCCTCCACTCACACTTAATTACATTATATCATTATCTTCCTCACCACAAATCGTAGCCACCATTAGAGAAGCTTAATGCTTAGGCCTTGACTTTGATTTTTGATGGCCTTCCACTCACATCTAGCCTTACCTTGGAGAACACTTTTGAATCCCCTCATCCTCCTCTGCAAAACCCTTGAAGGGTAGATCATTTGGACCTTGCTTGCCTTGGATTCTATAGATACGTTTCTCTAGTAAGGTAAGGGATGTATTATGTTTATTATCTAAGTGGCTTAATCACTTTTGTAGTGAAGTATAAGTTATATACATGTTTATTTATTAATTTGAGAAATTAATAATATATTCTAGCTTGCATGTTACTTACTTTTGACATGAAATATATGATGACCTTGGTATAACCCTTGCTATATATTATTTTGGGAATTTTTAAGCAACTTTTGAAAATTAGTAATTTAATTACTTTATATTAATTAAATTCCACCTGATTATATCTTACTCGCTTTGTGAAATTGATGTGATATTCGCAATCACCATGGAATGGACTTCCACATACATTATTTTGAGAATTTTTGAACAACTATTGACAATTAGTAATTTAATTATTT